TATATATATATATACATACACACACACACATATATATATATACACGCACACACACACAAATATATATATATATATATACACACATACAGTACCTTTTTATGATTTTATTTTTATTCTTACCTTTGTCTTCTCTCCTCAGTTTCCATCAGGATGGCAAAGAGTTTGCGCAGCAAGTGGAGGAGAAAGATGAGGGCGGAGAAAAGAAAGAAAGTTGCACCCAAAGAGCTGGCACGACTCAAAACAGTGCTGGGTCAGGGAGAGAAAGGAGAGATCACCATGAAAGATGTCGCTGAGATCGCCACCGTTGTGCCGCCTGAGAAAGTGAAGAAGCCAGAAGATGTTGAGATGCAGAAAGAAGATGGTGAGCTTTCATAGAAACATTTAGCAATTCGGGTTTTCTCTTGTGTTTTACCATATTAAATGCTGATCTGTTGTTGCTTTGCAGCGGATGGTGGAAAGATGGATTTAGACACTAAACGCAATAAAAAGACAATGTTGGACGATCAAGGACGGTATCCGGTCTGGATGAATCAAAGGCAAGTGAAGAAGGTGAAAGCCAAACGTACGGCTAAAAAAGGAAAACCTAAGATTAAGAAGGGGCTCGCCTGGTAGATGAACTGATGTGCTTGTGCACGGACATTATTCCTGTCACAGCTGTACAGGAGCCTTGCTGTGCATCTTTTTCATGTACATTCTTTTTATTTTACGTTTATGCAACCTTGAGCGGAAAAATACTTTAGAGTGTTTGCAATTGTGAAATGTAATGATCTGTTAATGGTTGTGGCTTCTCGTTGAGAATGAGCAATGTAATTGGGATTCAACATCATGATCAAGGCTTTTCACTAGATCTCTGGCTAATATGGAGGGGAGGGGAGGGGAGGGGAGTGAGACACTGTAAGTCATCTGCATTCAGTGTATTACACAACTGACTCTTCCGATTAAATATAAAAAAAAAATCCTCTCTACTCTGTTGGTCGTCTTTACTTTGTAGTTGTGAAGTATTAGGCATTTTCTTTGTTGGCAGACAACTATGGATGAGCTTCTTTTTTTTCACTTAAATCAAATATACCTTTCTGGGGGATTTAGTTTTATTTTTTGGTCAACAAAAATGCACAACATTAAGTCAGTAAAGAAACAAGCATAAGCCAGTGGCTTGTGTATCTCTAAGGCAGCGTGGTATACTTTTACAATTAACCTCTGCACCAACCAAAAGTCTTTATAACTGTTATTTTAAAACATTAGCAAATTTGTAAATCTTCATATTGCATGCATAAAGGTTTAGAAAGCTGGTAATTGTTTTAACATTCCTCATTTAAAACTATTAACAGCATTTCACAATTACTTTGTAATCATTCTCCATGTAATATTTATCTGAGAGATTAAATGGAATATTTGCACTTTAAAAAAAATCAGTTTTTCATATTGTAGGACTGGAAATCAACTAAACATGTAATTAATAGTGGCTAGTTAAACATTTATTTAATGTTCTGTTATTCACACTGTATCGTTCAAATGTCTGGGGCCAGTAATTAATTTTTAAATAAATGAATACTGTAATTTCAGAAAGGATGCATTAAATTGATCAGAAGTAACAGAAAAAATGCATATTACAAGATTTCCATTTCAAATAAATGCTGTTGCTTATGAATTCACTATTCATCAAAACAAATCCTTAAAAACATATCAATCAGCACAACTCTTTTCAACATTGAGAATAATGTAAAATGCTTTTTGAGGACCGAATCAGCACATTAGAATGATTTCTGAAGGATCATGTGACACTGAATACTGGAGTAATGATGCTGAAAATTCAGCTTTGCATCACAGGAATAAATTGCATATTTGAAATATGTTGAAATAGAAAATTAAATTGTATTAATATTTCACAATAATATTATTTTTATCAAATAAATGCAGCCTTGGTGTGTTAAAGAGACTTATTGCAAAATAATCTTACAGACCCCAACATTTTGAACGGTAGCGTATATGATCATACACATTTTAATCTAATATCTTTATGAAAAAAAAAAATTAAATGTAAGTAATTTCAGAAAGGATGCATTAAATTGATCAGAAGTAACAGAAAAAATGCATGTTACAAGATTTCCATTTCAAATAAATGCTGTTGCTTATGAATTCACTATTCATCAAAACAAATCCTTAAAAACATATCAATCAGCACAACTCTTTTCAACATTGAGAATAATGTAAAATGCTTTTTGAGGACCGAATCAGCACATTAGAATGATTTCTGAAGGATCATGTGACACTGAATACTGGAGTAATGATGCTGAAAATTCAGCTTTGCATCACAGGAATAAATTGCATATTTGAAATATGTTGAAATAGAAAATTAAATTGTATTAATATTTCACAATAATATTATTTTTATCAAATAAATGCAGCCTTGGTGTGTTAAAGAGACTTATTGCAAAATAATCTTACAGACCCCAACATTTTGAACGGTAGCGTATATGATCATACACATTTTAATCTAATATCTTTATGAAAAAAAAAAATCAATGTTAACTGGTTACTAACCATGTGCATTGAATGGACAGTTTTGCTCAGCTAACAAATCCAGGCTCATTAAAACAACCAAAAAGAACTAATTTTCAGCCAGACTCAAATGTTCATTCTGTACATGTTAGTATATTGCACATGTATGTCATAAAAAATGCAATAAACATAATAGTCTGCAAGTGGCTAATAAACACAAATTTGATCATTGCTTATTAGCAACTAATTGAGCTCCACAAAAGTGGCAGGAAACAGGCCTGTGCGACCATGACACGTTCCTTTCCACCAACCCTCATCCACCATCTCAACGCTAGTGATGGTGTCACCTGGCATGAAGGAGATCTCGTCACTGGCCTCTGCAAAAGTATGATTGATATTCATAACACACAGCAGACTAAACAACAAAAAACTCAACGGAAATAAATTACGTAGCTCTGTAGAGTCAGTAAGGAAGCAAGGTAATAAAATACAATGTCAATGAGGTATCAATCAGTTGCTATGGACTGTAAACGTACCTCCTTGGTAGTCATAAATGGCCGTGGCTGTGTTTCCTGCCCCACTTAGATCTTCATAATCATTATCATTATCGGCAGCTGTTGAAGAAGCCAAAAAAATTAATTAGGAATTACAGCTGTTAACAATCATAAACATTTACAGCTGTTATAATTAGAACCATCTACTTTTTCTTAATGTGGCTTTGATTCCCACAGTGAACACATGTAGTAAATGTGTATGCATGTGTCAAACCTGCAGTAGCATATGAGCCAATATCCTCATAATCTTCTTCCTGAGGTACGGGGACGGAAACGGGAACACATTCATCGTAAGCTTGCTCCGGCTCCTCCTCTTCCTCCTCCTCTTCTTCAATCAGGTCAGCGGAGCGGGGCGGCAGTAATGGCGGCTCTTCATATTCAGGCTGCTCCTCTATCTGAAACACACACTGAGCAGATGAGGATCAATTCTTTCAGTGTATGTGCTTAGATAATACTGTTAAAAATACAGTTTTGGAAGTGAAAAAGAAAAAGTCATTGTATAATTTACAGTGAAAAAACGCAAATTGACACTCCCAGAATTCCCTGCTTGATACTTCACATTTGATGTTTTTTTGTCGTTGTTTCTTCTTCATTTTTTTTCTTATCAGTTGTGTACATTATGGTTTTTATCTTGCATCTAATGTTGTTTAAAGGCACAATATGTACGATTTTTTTTATTAAAATATCCCAAAACCACTAGAACAGTGTTATATATTTTGCTGACTTGTGTACTTACATTATCCCAAATGTTTCAAAGAATGTTTAAATCCAGAGAAATAAGCTATTTTAACTAGTGACACGGACCGTTTCCATAGTGTCATAACCAGTGTTGGGGGTAACGCTGTTACTTTTTTTTTTTTTTTATACCAATTTATTGATTGACAGCTCCTCCTGTCCCCATATTGAGAGAAATCAGAAGATGTAGTTTACATACCTTTCTGTGACTGATGTTTCTCTGTTTCTCCTTTGTAGTCGTAACCCAAAGCAGCCTTGTCAACTTTTTCTTTTTCCACTCCGTATTTCCCCCCGAAGCCTTTTGCATAGTCTGTGAGATGTTCAGAAAGCAGAATTATGCTTTAGAAACTATTCTTCCACCAGAAGGATGCAAATATAAGGATTGAGGTCCAGAATGCTGGTCCATATAACAGCAGAGATTAAAATGACCTTTCTGTGACTGATGTTTCTCGGTTTCTCCTTTGTAGTCGTAACCCAAAGCAGCCTTGTCAACTTTTTTGTGGGTAGTTTCACTACTGGTAATGTTTGCCAGTGTGTTTTTAAGTTGTTGCTACAATGTTGGCTAGGGTATTTAGGGTGTTGCTAGGTGGTTTGCTCAATGGTCTAGGTCAAAAGAGTTGTTTTGGAGTGGTTGGTGAAGCATTGTGGGTATTTTTCACTACTGGTAATGTTTGCCAGTGTGTTTTTAAGTAGCTGCTACAATGTTGCTAGGGTATTTTGGGTGGTTGCTAGGTGGTTTGCTCAATGGTCTAGGTCAAAAGAGTTGTTTTGGAGTGGTTGGTGAAGCATTGTGGGTAGTTTTCACTACTGGTAATGTTTGCCAGTGTGTTTTTAAGTTGTTGCTACAATGTTGCTAGGGTATTTAGGGTGGTTGCTAGGTGGTTTGCTCAATGGTCTAGGTCAAAAGAGCCCATTCTGAAGTCTCTCTATGACCTTGTGATCTCTGGATATGTGTGTGAATCCTTTTCAAATCTTCTATGGGATTTTTGACCATATTTTTTATCTGCCAGGTGAAAATCCTAAGTCAGATTGCTTAGAAAAGTAGAAACACCACTCTGTTTTGGGATTTCATTTATATCTGCATCGCTAATGGTGCAGGATGAGTGAAGCATTTCCAAACCTAAAAGATTTGTTTCAATAATCAACTTTTTTAAAACTCAAAATGAAGGCTTTACTGTAAATCAGCTGCAATGGCAAAACCAAAAATTCATTTTATCATGCAACCACACACCAGATGTGTAAGTCTTCCATTAAATAGACTTTATTTCCAAAAAATAGCCCCTATAACAGGGTAGCAGGAGGGAGAGAAAGGATCATTTACACTGATTTTACAGATAAAACACTTACTGGGCTGTTCTTAAAATCGCACTGTAAATAGAGACGACATTTTAACCACAATCTAAACCATCCCTATACAGCCCAGACAGATCAGCGTGACAGTAATTAAGTGAGAAGTCCAGCTCCAGCTCAGAAAACTGGAAATAAGCAGAACATGAATGACTACTGAAGCTTTTTATAACTGAAACAGAATAAAAACAAAAATAGAAATTCATGGCATTTCATTTACGTCTTTAAGGTGAATAAAAGCAATAGTAGTCCAGATGTAAAGAATATGACGTGTAGTGTGTTAAAGAAAATAAACACCAACAAAATGAACAAATAAACCACCAATTAAAAAAGAACAAATATAAATGACAGTATTGCACCAAGCTGGCAGACTAGTCTGCCATGAAAGGAAACAGTCAGCACACTAGGACATTTCTAGAAGACTTTTGACGTCTTGCCATGCAGACACATCCAGTATCTGTATCAGTTTTGCCGTTACATTACACATGAATGCATTTGAATGACTTTATGCAGAAATAAAGAGATATCAAGAAAGAAAACTAATTACAGGAAGCTGGAATGTGGTCAAAATAAGTCTTTTTATGTCTACCTTTATGCATTCGACAGACAATGTGAAAGATCCAGTTAGACAGATGCTGGCATTTTCCAGACGCATAAAAATTCCTTCATTAATTTGGGCTTTCTTAAAGGGTAAAATAATGTTCTTGAGGAAGTGCAGGTTGTGCCCTAGTGTTACTAGTATTGACAAGCCCCAATAAAACTGGGTGGAAATAATTTTTTTGTCAGAACGCTCTGGGAAAAAAAAGAAAAAAAACTGATCAGATGTAACTTTGGTAAATAAGCAAGGAAAAATATTCTTATAAGATTGTGAATTAATCCTGTGTTAAATAATGTGTCCATTGTTTTGTATGATAAGTGAATGAGCATGTAACCGTCTCTCTCTCAGTAAAGCGTGAAGAATCTCTCTCACAGATATCCTCCCATGCATAGCAGCAACAGCACGTGAACAGTCAGCAGGTAGAGTGACAGCAGCAGAGGGGTTCGCTGACGAGAGCAGAATGCAACTCGCAGCATCCGCAGTAACCCAGGTCCATCATTTCGAGTCTAAGGTAAAAGAGAAAATACATAGAAAAACATATCCAATATATAGAATTACAAAAAAAAATACTCCGCTTTACTGATAAAATAATATAATCAAATATATTCCATTATAAAGGCCTACAGTAAATCAGACATTACATTTGTTATAGCATGTTTATGCATGTTGAAACAAAACAATGTGGAATGCATTAAAGGGGTTGTGTTTACCCGTGTAACTGCGCCCTCTGGAGGCTCAATAAGGACAGCCGTCTCTGACATCATGGCTTCAGAAGCTGTCTGCCACTCCCCCCGTGTATAGCTATAAATGATGAAGTGACACATGTAATATTTAGTCTTTAATCAATATTTTAGGGATTTAAATGTGAAAAGTGAAGCATGAAATATGTGAATAAAAACTGCATTTGGTTCATATGCAGTTGCCCCAAAATATAAGTAGTTCAGAGGAAAGGTTCAGATGATTTAGTTTGACATTCTGTATCTAAACAATTATATGACATTCATATGCCTTTTTTTTAAGACTTAAGTGTGTGAAAGTGGCCAAATAATTTTTGGGGCCAGTGTATATGCTATATTTTACAGTATGCACCAATAATGGCCAGAGCCAGGGGTAGTGAGTTTATCTTAATTAATCTGAGATTAGGGTCAAACCGTTTGAGGCGATCCTGTGCAGTGATGAGCTGCTCCTCTACTAGTAGTCTCTGTTCTAACTCCTCATCCAGCCTGACAGAAACACAGAGTTGAAGAGTTACTGTACAGACATGGTATTATACAAAAGCCATTGATTAAAAAAAAGGAAATTGATAAGATTGATAGGGAAAAAGACCAAACAGAGAAAAATGTTTTACTACTTTTAATTTTTTTTTTACTGTGATCAGTGATACACACTAACATACTTTCACATATATATTTCACATTCCTTTCAAATACAGTATTAGCTGTATGTTAGCTATTAGCTGGAGTATTATCAACAACTGCTATCAATGCAGTTTGTGGCACAGGTGCTAAAGAGATTGACAGCATGCAGCTGTGGGTCAGTATAATTAAAAAATAAGACTAAACTTGGCAGCAGTACCTTCTCTGGAGTTCAATGCACTCAGCTTTATAGCCCTCGTTGTGCTCTAGAGGGCCACCAGGGGCAGCGTCTACTGCAAGGCTTCCCTAAAAAACGAATAAATTAGTATCGGATGCCTCACACTAAAGACAATGAAACAGATCAAGGACTTCTCAGATTTATACTTAAATATACAGTGGGTTCAACAGACTGACACCACTAGTGAAATAAGCAAAACTGTGGCACAAGTCCAATCTCATACAAGGCGTATTAATGAACAGTAGTACAGTGAAAAGAATAAAACCTATAAATGTCTCTAGCTACACAAAACGAGGCAGATAGATTGACGGGAAAAAAAACATTTCTAGGTTGCTTTCAATGTCTCATATTTGAAAAGGAGACTATAGTTTTTACCTGTCTTTGTGTGTGCTCATGCCGGAATTTTGATGCCTGCGCTTCCTCCAGCATGGCAGCAAGCTGGCGAACCTGCTGGTCCCTTTCTGAGAGGGTGGTCAGGGTCTGCTGCTTCAAGAGCTCAGCCTGGCCCTGCCAGTCCATCCTCTCAAGTCTATACATGGAAACATTTAGTAAGAAATTGTAAGAAACAATGTTTTTTACTTTCAGTGAAATTAGAAATTATGGTCACTAAGTCTACAAAAATTTTCGGCTAACTTCTTTGAGGCTGTCTGAACAGTCGTTTACTTTTACCACACCAATAAAACAGTCATTTACATTTTCCACACCAATCAAATTGGACAGAATAAGCTACCAAAGGGACCATACTTCCAACAATCAGAAGCATGGCTCTGCAAGACTACCACCAAAACAGCAGAATGGCAGCGGGCAATTGACATTAGTTAAACCCCTGAGTCTCACCTGAGCATTTCCAGTTCTTGATTATATCTGTCCATCTGTGCGTCTCTGTCTCTAAGCTCTGCCATGATATTTTCCTCTCGCTCCCCTGCCCTTCTTCTCTCATCCTCCAGAGCCTGAGAGAGCCCGGATAGTTCACCAGATCCAAGTCTGTCCAATTCAGACCGCTGCAAGTCCAACTGTTCCAACTGAGGTACAATTAATAGGTTGCAAATGTTATTAGAAGGCAGGATGCAAAAACTAATACTTAGGCTTCCAATAAATGATCAATTAAAAACATACCATTCTTTCCCTGTCATTTTGCAGTGCTGTTAGGGCATTTTTTAGGCTCCACACTTCTCCTTTGGAGCCACTTGGAGGAGAAGCTGGGTGAGCCGTCTGGTTTATCTCATCTAAATGGAGACGCAGCTCCTTGGCCTCGCGTATAGCCTGATCTCTTGCATCCTGCAGAGAGGTCATGGCTTGACCAAAAGACTGATTCTGAGCTCGAAGCTGAGAGGCTGTTTCCCTCTCCTCCAGAAGCTGCTGCTCCATCACCAGCAGGTCTCGTGCCAACTCCGCAACCCTTTCCTCGGCTGTTTCAGCTTCGGTGCGCAGAACACCGCCTTCCCAGCGCAGCTCCTTCAACTCTTTGCTGTGGACTGCCTGGGTCTCCTTCTCCAATTCCAAGGTCTCCTCCAAGGTGGTGATACGCTTTCTAGCAGCTTGGAGCTGTTCCCTCAGCTTCTCTACCTCGGCCCCTGGTGCTTCTTGCTTATCGACTCTAACAATTCCTTCACTGGCTTGGCTCAAGTTCTCCTGCTCCAATGGCGGTACCTTTCCTTGTGCAACATCTTTTACAAGAGCCTGAATTTGGCTCTCTAAATCTCCTTTCTCTCTCTCCAGAAAACTGATGCGCTCTACTTGGGCAGCTAGAATCTGCTTGTGCTGGGAGTCCTTCATAGCAAGAACCTGGTTCAGGTCATTTCTGTAGCCATGAAGTTGGGCAGCCAGCTTGGCATTCTCAGCATTGAGGTCATCCCGCTGTGACAACAAGGCTCGAATCTCCTCCTTTAACCCGTTGTTTTCTCCTGCAGCCTCTTGGATCAGACTGTCCTTCTCCATCATAACCTGAGAGACCATGAGACCAAGGACGAGTTGGAATTTCAAATGTATGCAAATTAATTATGAATTAATTAAGGCAAATGAGGCTATATTTTAAAAATATAATTAACTATTTAGAGCCACATTACCTGGAGATGTCTTTCCTCTAGCTGCTTGTATTGGCTGAGCACTCTGTCTCTGTCATCCTGCAAGGAGCCCATAGCCTTGGTAAAGGACTCAAGTTGAGCTCTGCTCTGGAAGGTGTCCTCCTCAGCCTTACGAAGCTTCTCTTCTAAACCATGCAACTCCTCTCTCTTCTTCTCCAGTTCTTTCTCTGCCATCTCGGCCCTTCCATCTGCATCCTTCCTAGCCTCCTCTACAGCCTAAAAGAACAGAAAGAATATCTATCATTTTATGGTGTTAAATTGCCTACAATGAGATTAATGAATATGCATGCATTTGTTTCAGAAACTTTATTTTCAGTATATTAAGTACCTGTGTCACAGCTTGCTCCTTCTCACCAAGGAGTTCCATCTCCCTCTTCTCCTTCTCATCCAATGCTGCCTGAAGATTGTCAGTAAGGTTCTTTGAAGATGCCAGGTCTGTCTCCAGTTGCTCCAGCCTCAAGCATAGTCTCCTTTCTTCTGTCTCCCTTTCCTTGATCACTGCACGTGCCTCATTAGCATCACTCTGAAGCTTGTCTACTGCTTCTTCTAGAGCTTTGGTCCGGTGCCGTAGTCCCTCTGCCTCTGTCTCCAGGGTAGTCAGCTGAGAACGAGTTTGGGTCAGGTTGGTCTCTACCAAAGTGAGCTTGTGCTGCAGATCCCCTCTTTCTTTCTCAAGAGCTGCAAGGCTTTCATTATGTTTCTTTACTGCCTCAGACAGCTCTAGCTGTAGGTTCTCCTCTGCCTTTTGCATTCTGCAGACATAGAGCATATTCATTTTTTTAAATTTAAAGTTTAATTAACAAAACTTTATTTAAAAATAAAAAAGACAACAAACCTTTCCAATAAACTCTGCAGCTCCTCTTTTTGGGTGGTCTCCCTCTGGAGTTGCTCAGCAAGTTCTTTAGCATGGGTCTCAGCCCCCCGAACATCAGCCTCCTTTTTCTGTAGCTCACTATGAAAACGACTCTCCCATTGCTTGGCCTCATCCAGCACTCGATCCCGATCATCCTGCAGGGACGACATGGAGCGCGAAAAGGCTGCTAACCGAGCCAGTGCTTCATCCAGACGTGCTTGCATTTCCTGGGCATGCCTATCTGCGGTCTCAGCAATTCTCCTTGCCTCAAGAGTTGCCTCTTCCTCCCTCTCCCGCTCCCGGTAAGATTTCTCTAGTCTTAATTCTATCTGTTTAAGCTCGGCTCCAAGACGATACCTGACTTCATCCAGGGTACGCTCCGCATCTGCCTTCAACTCAGCCTCTTTGCACTGTACCATTTGTTCAGCAGCTAGTTTGTCTGCTTGGGCCTGCTTTGCTTCTTCCAGCACCATGTCCAGCTTCCCTTTACATGTTGAAAGTTCAGATGCAATACTTGTTCTGTCTTGCATAATCTTTGCAATTTCCAAGCGTGCTGCCTCAAGTTCTGCACTCAGCTCATCTCTTCCCAAAGTCAATGACTTAAATTCTTTAACCAGTTCACTTATTCTTTCCTGGTACTCAATGCAGTTTTTCTGTAGCTGACGAACTTCCATTTGCTTCTCCCTCAGCAGTTCCTCAAGTTGACGTGTCCTGTTTTGACTACCTTCTTTAAACCGCTGTGCTGATTTCAACTTCTGCTCCAGCTCTCTTTGTTTGCCTGCCTCAGCCTCTGCTCTTTCTCGTTGGGCCTGCCTCATGTCTTCTTCCATCCTGGCTGCCCGGTCCCTCTCACTTGCCACCTCAGCCCGCACTCTCTCCAGTTTCTCCAGTTCCTTCTGCATGTCTGTAAGGCGATCACGACTGTCAGATGCCTCTTGCTGGTAGCCTGCAATGCTGCCATTGAGCTGAGCCAGCTGGTTCATTAACCGCTCCTCCAAGTCATCCCTTTCAGCCTCTAGGCTAGTGCGAAGTTCTTGCAGTTGGGTCTCTTTCTTAGAAAGCTCTTCATTCTGAAGACCCTCTCTTTCTAAAGACTCCTGTAGGTGCTGCTTGAGGGACGCAAGCTCTGCATTAAGCGTTGACTCTTGCTTGCTTCTGGATTCCATGTGATCTTCAAGAGCAGCTTCAAGTTCCTTTATCTTATTCTCTGCTGTTTTGAGAGAGGTTTCCAGTTCCTTGAGCATCTCCTCTGTTTGAGCAGTCATCTCAACGTTTGCTTGCACTTCTGTGACTTCTTGCTCAAGAGCAGTACCAATGGATTCCAATGGCTCTTGAATTTCACTTAAATCAGGACTTCTCTGCTGTGTGTCAACTTTAACTTCCTGAATAGCTTTCACGGAGCATGTGTCCAGGGTCTCACTGCCCTTTCTGTCAATTTCCTCAGCCAAACGCTGTCTCAACTCCTCAGCTTCATGCTCCAAAGAGTTTTTATCATCCATAACAATATTGTAATTTTTTTTCAAGGTCTCAAACTCTTGTTTGACTCTCTCAAGCTCTTGTTTCAGCTCAGTTTCTGTATGTTTGGTCAATTTCTTCTCTTCCTGCTCCCTAAGCCTTTCATTTTCTTCCTCTAGATCCATAATCTTCTGATGCTTAACCTTGGCAAACTTTCTCATTTTTTCTTTCACAACATCTACCTCCTTCATAGCTTCCTCCGCTAACCTCTCAGCCTCATGTCTGGCCGCCTCATGAGCTCGTGCCTTGGCTGCTAACTCCTGCCTCTCCTGTCGAGCAGCTTCCAGCACTCGTCTTACTCGTTCAGCCTCATCACTCACATTTTCATATGACTTGAGGAGGGATTCATACTCCTCTTTCATGCTTTGCACCTTTTCTTCCAACTGCCTGCACGCTTGTTCGGATTCCTCTTTGGCACTCTCTGCTTGATGTTTACATGCATCCTTCTCATTCAAAACACCCTCCATAGCAAGTTTAAGGCTCTCACAGGAGGCATGCAGACTCTGGTTTTCCAACAAAGTTCGATCCACCTCCTCAATTAACTTCTCCCTCTCTTCTCTTGACTTGTTCAGCTCTAACTCTATTAACTCCAGCTTCTGTTGTAGCTCTAATTTGATCTTCTCAGCAGCAGCCTGTTCCTCCTTCAGCACCTTTTTCTCTTTGAGTGCCTCCTTACGTGACACAAGAGCAGCCTGCAGTTTGCGTTGAAGCTGTTGGAGTTTGGCACTATTATCCTTCTCTTCTTCCTCACGTTGTGGCATTTCTGCTTCCAGTTTTTGAGCTCTATCTTGCTCAGCTTTAAGAACTTCTTGTAGGGAAGCAATCTGCTGATCTTTCTCCAGTACCGTTGCCTGCATCTTAAGTAAAAGAGAACTTTGTTCACTAAGCTGTTGGCTTAAATCAACAATCTCATCATTCTTGTTTTTAAGAAATTGTTTAAATTCTTCCACTTCTAACTGAAGTGCTTTGACTGGGGACTCAGCATCTGAGATGCTTCTTTTAGCTGCTTCCCAAGCTTCATCCACCTCCGCTTTCAGCTTCACTGCATGAGTTTCGGATCTCTGATATTTTTCTCTAAGAACTTCCATTTCTTCAGTGAGAGCATCAATCTGCCTCTCTTTTTCTCTCAAGGCTTCAAGTTCTTCACAAAACTCTTTGAATTTGCCATCAGTGAGTGATTGAGAGGATTGGCTCTCTTGTAGATGCACCTCTAATTCTGCACGAGCAGCCTGCTCAACTCTTAATTCCTCCTGGAGAGCATTTCTATTTTCCTCATGATCTTTTACCATGCACTGTTGAGATTGCTCACCAGGTTTGTTATGTTGTTGTGACTCAGTCTCAGCAAAATCCACCCAGTCCTCCTGAACCCAATCGTTTGTCTCTGGTTTCTCTAAATTCTGTGTAGCAGACCCAATATTCCTCTCCACATTTACACTCACCACTTTATCTGTATCGTTCTTTGATTCTAGCAGACCCTCAAGCTCTATAATACGATTCAACAACCCAGTTTTTTCTCTCTCCTCAGTTTGGAGGCTTTCAAAAAGGTCACTGTACTCCACTTTCTGTTGTTTCATCTGATCAAGATGATGGCAATCTTTCTCTTGAGCTTTCACAACAGCATCCTCATGAGCATTAGTAGCTTCCTGAAGCTTTTTATGCAATATTTCAATGTCAGATTCCATGGACGCTATCTGTGAAATTAGCTTATTTTTGTCCTCAGCCATCTGTGACATTGGTTGTTCAGTTAGTTGTACATACTGCTCTGTCAAATGTTGTATTTCTGCATGTGACTCAGTCAATGCTTGATCTTGGTTACTGATTTTTTGTTTCAGACTTGTTAAGGTCTCTTCTTTTAAATTTAAGTAATCTCTGGTCTCTTGCAACAAAGCATCAAGTCTCTGTATTTCTTTCTCTTTTTCCTTAATTTCATTTTTGAATTGAAGAGTTATTTCCTCACCTATTTCCTTTTCTTCCCTGCTCTCAGCCTCCTTCTCAAAGTCTGCAACTTTTTTCATCAATTCTTTCCGCTGTATCAGAGCTGCCTGCAGCTTTCTCTTGACATGTTCTCCATCTTTCTTCATAGCAGCCATTTGAGAATTCAGGTCCTCCTTCTCCTTTTGTAAAGCAACAAGCTCCTCACATTCTGCTGTTTTATCCTCTTTGATTTTCTGCTGGTCATCCCTGACACTCTCAAGTTCATGTATTTGCTCTTTTAGCTTTTTGACTTCACTGGATATTGCAAACTTTTCCTCTCCGGCCTGGAGTAGTTTGGCAGTCATGCTATCATTGAGTTCCATCATCTCCTGGTCTTTCTGTGAAAGACACTTTTGTAGATCTTCCAGCTCAGCAGTCCTGTCAATGAGAGCAGTTTTTGCCATATCAGCCTCCTGAGAGACCTGCACTAACCTGCCCTCCATGTCCAAGAGCTTCTGTTCCAGTTCGGAGGAAGTGAGCTCTCTGTCCTCCAGTTGAGCAGTTAGCATTCTAGCTTGACCTTCTTGTTCAACAAGTCTCAGATGGACTTCATCAAGGCTTGCCTGTAAGGCTTTCAGCTTATCATCTTTAGAGAGAACCTCTTCCTGCAAGTTTTCAAACTGCTCAGCAACATTTTGCCTATCTAATTTTTCTTGCTCAAACAATGCCTTAACTTCAATCAGCTCTTTCTCGTATATATTTGCCCTAGACTGAGCCTCATTTTTGGAATCTGTAACTGACTTCAATGCTTTCTCCAGCTGGAAGACTCTCTCCTGTGATTGTAAAGCGGAGTCTTTCAGCTGCTGAAGTTCTCCCAGAAGTTCACTATATCTTTTCTGAATCTCTTCTGCTAATATCTGAGCAAAAGCCTGACCTTTGCTTGAATCTGTATTTAGCAGACTTCCCTCCTGTTGGCCAAGATGTACCTGCACAGTTTCATGGATAACTAAAGATGGTGATTCAATATCAACTATGCAGCTAGTTGATGCAACATGCTCTTCACCGGTCTCTTCCCAAGATTGCATGGATAAGCGTAGTGAGGCAAAGTCCTGAATTTGGGGTGCCCACTCTTGAGTCCCATCTTGGTTGACTGCTTCTAGAAGAGTCCAGCTACTATGAGCCACCTCTGAGTCACTGCTTGTCACCATCTCATCCGAGGAGGTACCCTTTGATTCTCCAGGAGACTCAGGATGAGGTGCTATAAGCTCAGGGCTACTCTCATTGCCAGCAGAGACTGACAGAACAGATCTACTGTCTACTGCCACAAGTGTTGTCTCTTGCTCTTGTGTGCCCTCAAGAACCTCAGATAGAGCTGTAGTGTTATCATGCAACCCAGCGATATCTCTTCTGCTTGCACTGTCGGCACTTTCCTCCACTGGAATACTTTTGCTTGTGGTGAGTGACAGTTTTTCTTTGAGAGCAAAGAATTCCCTTTCTCTGTCTGCAAGCTGCTGCTCCAAAAACAGTATCCGATCGGTCTGTAATTTGTTTTCTGAACTATGTCCATCTCCACTGTTATCTGAGGGTAGCATTTTTGAGAAGAAAGAAAAATCATGAGACAATCATGTGAAAATCATCAAATAGGCCTTGCATTAAACATGCAAAATGCATCATGTAAAAAAAAATAAAAAATTTCAAGAATAAATTCTTAACTTCATGTTTTTGTTTTGCGTATTGACTGGGGAAACCAGTCTTTCTGGTTGTCCTAACTAATATCTTAACATTGCAAACAAGTTTACAAACCACAATGTTAAAAGGCATGTTCTCTACTAGAGAGCAAGGCTATTATGGAAGAACATGGAACTGCTGTCACTGAAAGAAACAAAAAGAAAGTACATTCAGCTACACAAGGGCAAACATTAAACTCACCCTGGTGTGTCCTGTCCAAATCCCTCACAGACAGCTCAGTCACATGATCACATAATGACTCACCAGTAACCTTGGAAAGACAAACGGTATGTTTACACTAATGCATGCTTACTGAGAGTGCACTTGTTTATTGAATTGCCACCGTAACTGCAGGTATTTCAATGCTATTACAGACCATACCTTTATTAATACTTCATAATTATGCACTTATATGTGGGGGCCAGTAATCGAAACAGAGGATGAAATTCGAGAGGATTATGATATCTCTGACCTGATAAGTTGTGAGACAAACCGTCTAGGCATTAATGTCACCTTGTGTCTGTCGCACCAGACACAGCTTGTGCTATATACATCCAAATGTGTTTGCCATTCAGACACATTGCCCTAAACAATTCTGTGCACCATCTCCATTGCATTAATATCTTTTTTGTCCTGATCATTAGGTGCAAATACTAAATCTGATCAGGAAAATAACAGCAGAGCTCTGTACAACAATCCATACAATTTTAAGCATCATTCATTCATAGCAAAAATAATGCAGGACAGATTTAATACCAAGAACCCCAAGTACTTTTTTTTGAACACCTAAGTATGAGTGATAGTAATATTTCCTTATTAATTGCATTCAAAACACTCATAAGTTCAAATAAATAACAAGAACAAATATTTATCAGTGTCAATTAGGGTTGGGTGATGTCTACAAAATACAGTGAGACATTAGGCCCTTTCGCACCGCTTTAGTTCCAGAACTAAACGTACTGGGACGATTTTGCACGAACTATTTCCCAGTACTATTTATAGGGTTGCATTCGCACCGAGAGTATGTACTAAGAAGTGACGTAAGCCGGTCAACAGCGTCGTCATTTGTGCGCGGCGTTCAACAACAGAAACAAAGAACAACATTACATTATTAGGAGGATGGAGGACGCTGTGATCGGAGCTGTGTGTTTGTTGTGTCTCGCGGGTTTCACAGTGGACATGGAAAGTCGACGTATACGTAAAGCGATTGAAAGAACGGAAAAGGAGGACTAAGAATCTCCAACAACAACTGGCAGTGCTACATTTGCTACAAGTGCCAGCACTTCAGCGTCCGTCCATCTATCGCTGTTCTCCATACTTGTGAAATAAGTTGACATGCTTACAGTATGTTTACACGGTGTTTTAAATCATGGCAGGTGAGGGCGTCTTCGTACGCGTTTGGCCAATTAGTGTCTACTTGCGTCACGATTAGTACCAGTTGTGCTGGTTAGACCCTGCTCTGGAGTAGGAGCTAATTTGGTTCTCAAAAAAGGCAGTCCGGTACTAAAAATCACTCCCAGTTCCAGCGGTGCGAACACGCCGAAAAGTGGGTAGTTCCACAATTAGTTCTGGTACTATGAAAAGGTTCCTGCGGTGCGAA